GGTCTTGTTTGTCGGTAGGGGGAGATCCAGTCATATTTGGTGGGTCATTGGTTTTGGCTGCAGGGATTGGGGGTCCCTAGGTCTTTTATCTCGGGGACAGGGGCCGTGCTCTGCCGGGGTTTCTGCGGACCACGCGGATTCGGAGCGAAGACGAGTTTCAGGATGGGGAGCAGGGGGTAGTCTCAAGCAGCGCGGCGGGGCGAAGGGCTCCTCTCAGAGGTACACGGGGATTCAGGCGGGGTATTTATCGGCCGTGGAGGGGGGAGATCTATAGGGGAGAGCGGGCAGGGCGTTGCGAGCATCCGTCGTTTCCCCGCAGGTTAGCGAACGGGCTGGAGGGCGTGCGGATCGAGAGCAAGGGCTGACCTTCTTCAACGTCTCGGAGAAGGACTACGGCAACTACACGTGCGTGGCCACGAACCAGCTGGGCAACAGCAACGCCAGCATCATCCTGTACGGTAGGCGCCCGTTTTTTTTTGCAGCAAGGTTTCTCTAGGAGCAGGAGGAGGAGGAGGAAGAAGAAGAAGAAAATGAAGAAGAAGAGAAGGAGGAGGAGGATCAAGAGGAGGAGGAAGAGGCGGCAGCGAGGCGGAGCGATGGAACAGAGCCAGCCGCATGGAACATTTGCCCAAAGGGCATGATTTTTCTAGCACGGAGATCCCGTGGAGATGACGCATGCAATGAAGAAGTGTCAGTCGGCCCAAGGAGGCCCGTCCAGCCTGGCGGCGGGCGGCGGCGGGCCCGGCGTTCGGGGGGGCACGGGGGTTTAGGGGGGGGGGGGCGCAGCTTGTTTTTATGGAGCCAGAGCACGGATGGAGAAGCGTTTCCGGTCCCAGAGACAGCGTCGCGGGAGCGAGGGCCGACGAGGGGGCCCAGAGCAGGTGAGCAAGCGCTTCGGGTGCACGGCGTGGGGTTTTTATTTCTGGGTGTCGTACTGGCAAGGAGTAGCGGCACTTGTTGTCTAGTATTGGCAAGTATTTATCGTCTAGTAGCGGGCGGCAGCAGGCCGCACAGCATAGGCGTCGAGAGCCTCGAAGGGGCAGTTTGCGTTGGTTGTGTGGGTGCCGTGGGCAGGGAAAGGTACTTGAGGAGCGTGGTACCGGACAGGTGACCTAAAGGAAGGC